GGGAAATAGGGAAAGGTGAAGGGCCTAGGGCTGCCCCAAGGGAAAAGCAGCACTTACATCAGTGATTTGACAGAGTGCTCTCACAGCAGGGCCTCGGTAATTGTCATCCTTCCCAGTCATGTCTTTGGTTAAGCTGGTTGAAAACAGGAAGCTCTCAATACTGCACTCCTGAGCCAGCAGCTCTCAGGTGCATGCACACTGCACAGAGAGCAGCAGGCAGCCAGCATCACAGCTGAATGCCAAGCAGGCAACTGCAGGTCTCAGGCAAGTCCCACCGGGGTGGGAAGGAAGAAGGAAAAGATCATCAGGTTCCAAGTCCATCAGCAGGCCGTATGGGCTCCTGATCACCAAGCAAGGCTGGAGCACACACACATACCCCTGAGGCATTTGCCTTCCCTACTGAACGCTCATTCCTGCCCCTTCCCCAAGGTCCCGGTCAGTGAGAGACCATCTATGAGCGGATGGGAGTTCATCACATTGCAGCACTTGGGACTGGCTTCTGCCTGCTGCATGGCCTCAGCCCCCCGCAGACCCTATACTCTCCGGCTCCTGTCTCCCCATACTGCACCGGCCTTTCAGTGGGATGATCAGCAGTTCAGGAATGACTCACAGAGGGAATCTTGTTCCCCAGTGAAGTCGCATCCTGTGCTGCTACAGGAGCAGTAAATCCCTGTCTACCTGTTGAAAGCCTTGGGATTTATGCCAGAAATCTTCAAAAAAACATTGAGACTGGAAAGTAGAAGTTAATGAAACAGCCTTTTGCAAAAGGGGAAAAAAACAGCAGTGCTACTATACAATGTAACCAAAAGAGACAATCCAAACACCCATGGGCATGGGATAAGGGGACAGCACGTTTCACATACATCACTAGGAGGTCAGTGTCTGTATTTCAACGGCCTCTTCTAAAGGAAAAAAATTTTTCCTCACCAGGGGCATTCCCTATCCTCACCCTGCTTAGGGACTACAGTTACCTCCAAGAGGTTGGACAGGCATTACTGGAGGACACATGAATGTAACAATAAGAAAAGTGAAGTGACTGACCTGCTGGTAACAATGATTACATCTTCTGCAATAGAAGACATCTCTTTGATAGTCAGGTAACACATCCTGCGAAGAGTTGGCTGACAAGGAAAGAGGGAAGACAGACATCAGCTGAGGGGATCCCGGATAGGAAGGGATCTCAGTTCTCCCTGCTTCAGTGATTTTACTGTGAAAATCAAGAACCTGATACCTTCAGAAAACTCCAGTGCCTGAGTGTAAAAGACGTACAAAACCCATATGGACTAACAAAGCACCTCTTCCTCTTCTAAATCCCTCAATCTTAGGGTGAAGCCGCAGAGATACCAGATTTAGCTGGATCTAGAGTTTCATCTTTCACTTGTCATTCACATGAACAAGGAGAAAAGCTTGAAATCATTAGCTAAAGGCACCCTGTTGCTTCAAAGGCAATAAAGCAACCAATTTATATTCCTGAGTCTGGAGATTTCTATACCGGTCTTGTGATTTTAATGCCTTATCGTTTGGGGGACAACTAGTGATGGTACTACTGCTGTGGGTAGGTACTAATTCCTGGCCTCTTCCAGGACATACAGTAGCAGGATCTTTTAATGCTGGGCACAAAGCATAGTGTATTCTAGCTGATTATATGCTTGATCTGTGCCTAGCACAAACTCAAGAGGTAAACAGCAATTTAGAGGGAGGAATCTCTGTCTCAAGAACACAGAATGCTTCAGTCAGGCTGCTACAAGGTCTGGGAAGAGCTAGGAAGCTGATCTCTGTTTCTAAACTTTCTTCCTACTGTTCCCACTCAGATCAGGTAGGTCCAGGCAGGACAGAAAAGGTGATTGTATAAGAATGCACATCTCGAGGCTCAAAAAGATACTGTTGACAACTTGTCTCACCAGATAAATACAGCAGAAAACAACAAGCAGACTTACATCATTTGACTGAAACAGCTTGGTCATAGCAAAAAAGGATTCGGTAGCTTCCATGACACCAAGGTGCTCCCCCTAGAAGATGTTTGGAAAGAAGGAAGGAAATCCCAGTTATCACAACCAGCTTTGGGCCTGCTGCAGGTGTCTCTGTATAGGTGTAAATTTTCTCTCCCTTACCTGGTTTATGAGATACAGGATCTTGGTGAGGATATGAGCACATTTTCGTGGGTTTATGGGAGTCTCATTAAACACTCGTGCCTGGAAACAAAGCATAGACAAGGATGCTGACACCAACACCCCCTCGCAAACACTGTCCTGTCTGGTCTTGGCCGCCGATACAAACACCGCATTGTGAGCTAGGTATGGCAGTAGTAATGACTTCGGATCAGATTTCCCCTCAATTCCTGTTGAACATGGAACCCTTTTAAACAGCTGGTTCTACAGTCTGGGATCACAAATCCAAGTGCAATTAAGGTTTAAAGGCCAAATCCTCATTACACTTTCACCCACACAAGTCTGGATTGTGTGCTAGCTAAAACACCACTCTTCTGACAGATGTACACGAGCTCTGCGAGGCTAATGGGAGCCAACACCATCCACAACATCGCAAGCAAACAGATAACATAGAAGCAACAGGGTCTGGGGATTGAGAAGTTTACCTGCTGTTGAATAGAAAGGCATTTTTTCAGAGCAAATTCATAGACTATTCAATAACCACTCACACCCTGCTCATTAACGTTGTCATCTACAAGACATTCAGGGTGTTCAAGGTCAATTTCCCAACCTTCCTGTTTTAGGGTTGAGCTTTCCCAGATAATTTTATTCATTTTATTACTATTTATAGTTCACAGTCTTTAATTCATTACAGAGACCATCACAATCTTCTCCCTTCCTCCCTCCAACAATAAAATAAGAACTAATGGGAGTGTTGCTCATTTCTTTCAGGGCTAGCACGACTGTAACAACCCCCCACTTCCTTGCTGAAGTTCTCCAATGACCTACTCAAGAGAGGGAGAGACTCTATCCAGAAAGGGGTACACAAAGGAGATCGTCTGAGGATTTACCTCTTGCAAGACTGCACTCTTCTCCAGGTGCTGGAATGGGTTGGAACCCCCACCTGGAAAATAAAGAGAGTAAAAGTCTTTCCAGTGATAGTGCTATGGGAAAACAACTTTCGAACCATGCCCATACTTTAAAAACAGACTGAGCATTTTGGGGTAACTTTTTTCATGAACACCAAGCAACCAGAGCTCTCTCTTTTAAGTAATATTAATTGGATGTCTTCATAGCAGTTAGGGAAGGCAGAGCAGAAGGACATTCTTCAATTTGTCACTTCCTCTGGAAGTAACTAGCCATGAGCCGAGGTAGACTGATTAGCTGTAAAGTAACTGCGCTCCACTGTTATCCCCAAAGACCTATTTCCAGCCCCTGGGCTCGGAGCTTGCTGACAGTTAGAGCATCAATAAGACAGGCCTAGAAACAAAAGCTCAGACAAAAAGAGGTATCACTTGCCAGACTGGTGAGTCAGGAGTGCTTTATCCCTCCCTTATAAACCAATCAGGAATCCACCAGTAAAGTATTTTTGGCTCTATCACTAATTAAGAGGACAAGACAGCGGACTAGAGAGTCTGCACACAGAGTAACTTTCATTGTTCCTCTTAATAGAATAAATTATATTAAATAATTAAAAACTTCACCAATTAAGGATGAAATAATCAGAGGGAAAAGCACTATCATTCTGCATGGTCTCTATTAGCTCGCCTCCTAAGCATTTGTGAGCTGCAGCTTTTCAAAAGCTGCCAGTTATTGATAAGCAGGTTTTAATTAGTACCTATGTTCAGCCTGGCCCTGGGACAAAACGCAGCCATTTCCAGCGCTGTTCCAATGTTTAACAAGCCTGATCCGCTAGAGAGCACAGCTCCTGGGCCCAGCTCCGATCTGACCTGGGCTTGAAGCATCCTACGCTGGTGCCAGGAGCCTTTGCAAGAGTAAGTCTTAGAGTCTTAGACTTAAAGGCAAACACATCTGCACTCTGGCTCCTTCCCCGTCCATAAATTGCCCTCCCCTGGCTCAGGAGAAGTTTGCAAATGCAGTAGGTGGCTGAACAAAGCACAGACACTTATGTAGGGTTGAGGAGAGAAGAAAATAAGGGGAAAGAACAAAAACAACGCCTCTAGTATGAGTATGAACCAGTTCTAGCATGAGCATGTGAATGTGTTCCAAAAAACCTGCCCAGCAGCACAGTATTTCCCATGGCCCAGCATGTCTACAATCCCTAAATCAGCCATCAACAACAGAGCATCGCCTTTTCATCTTTCATGGCACCAAGGATCTTGAAATAAATTGCACATGAGGTCTTGGTCCACACAGCACCCTGTGTCAAAGTATTTTTCTATCAGAGGAGAAACAGACACAAGAAAGGCAGAGGCTGTGTGTTCAGAAAGCTCCTAGTATTGGATGACTAACAACAGTTTGTACTGATTTGCAGAGAAACATTCACTGACAAAGCAAGGATCTCAGAACAATGATATGCCCAAAATAACATCTCAAAGTGCATTTCTGAGAGCCAGTGGAAGCAGCTCATGCAAGACTACCTAAACCACCCATGAAAAGCAAAGAAACAGAAGCCAATTAAGTGGACACGCTCATCTCAACAAAAAGATTGTCCTGTTAGCCTTTACATGGAAAGAATGGGTATAAAAGGCCTGTAAATTCAGGGATGATGCGCTCCACCTAAGACCAAGAACAACAAGCACTCAGGCTATACATTTTGGACATATACACAATCCACAGGAGAAAGGCAGGTGCAGCAAATGCTAGGAATCTTCATTCAAAACAGAAGCAATAGGATGAGAAGTAAAGGCAATAGCGAAGAAAAAACTTTGGGAAGCATGCAAGCAGCAGTGCCAGAAAGGAGAGCTCTGTGAGCTCTCAGCATGAACAAAATCAACAAGAGTCAGCATCATAATACAAGGAAGTGCATCTCCTGCCAGCCTTGGCCATAGGTAATGCAATACCTTGAAGCATGCAGCAGGTGCAAACGAAGAATAGCCCCAAAAAATGAAAGCCAGGAACGATTCCCCTCCAACAGTTGCCTCGCTAAATTCTCCACTTATGAAGATGTCACTGGAGGCTTTGGACAAGGAAAACAAAGGCAAAGCATTTAATGCATATTAAAATAAAAAGCAAGCACAGTCACACAGAACAATCACGAAGATTTATGCTGAATCAATTCACTTCAGGATGCGCTAATTGTTATGCAGAACAAGCTGCATAGAAAGCTTCATAGAAAGATGAAAAAGATACCACAAGGCACAACCATGAAAGTAAACACTATCATATCTAGCCTCGATTCCACACCACATAAAGTACTCGGGCCTAAAGTTTTGAAAAGTCAAGCAATCACTTTGTGGTTTTTGGTGCTCTCAGCCTTTCAGACCCACTGAAGCTGGCAGCAATCTTGCTGGAAGAGCAGACCATGTGTATTGGAAAAACAGCACTAGAAACTACAAATTGGATTCCGCCCTGCTTTAGCACCTGGGTTGAGAGTTGGGCCAGGGCTAACATGCTCAATATTTAGTCTCAGACTCTGCACCTGCAGCAGGTAACGTCGGTGTGCTGTGCCAGTGCAACAGGTTTAGCTTCTGGTTGTAGCAGTGAGGAGGACGGCAGCAGACTGCTCTAGTGCTTCCGCGGTGCTCCTCACTGCCCTCTCGTGCACACCAGCCAGCCCCCGCTGCAACGCTGGTACCGAGTCTCCCCCCACAGCTCCCCCCCTCACCCACAGGAGGG